TATATATATATATATATATATATATATATATATATATAAAGTAGACGATGCTTTCAGAGAATGCTTTGATATTAATTTCTATTTTTATATTAATGATAGAGGTCTCTGTGATTGTTAATCTACAGAAGTCGTTATTTCCAGAGGACAGACATGCATGCCCTAAAACACCTGAAGTCACAACAGTTAAGGAAAAATCCCCAGAACGCCAGCGTGTGCAAGTGATAAGCAAAGTAGGCAGCTGTAAACCAGTATATCAGAATTTAAGCCCTACTAGTCGGTAAGCTATTATCTAATAAACAAAACTGTATTAAGCGTATGTATTTTGCAAGGGCAACAATGGGAATGAATTGAGAGCTTTTCCTTGTTAGTCGCCTTTTTACATTCGGAGACTTACTAAGTAGCTAGTAGTGCTTTAGCTCTCGCTTACATCAAAGTTAAGTACTTTTAGTGATGAGGAAAACATAATGAAAGAACAGTGCTGACTTAGATCAGCTCAATTAAATAGTTTTAGACCGCGCTCTCCAGTTTGTGATATATCTCAGACGGAGTCCATGACTCGCATTCAGTCTAAAGATTGCTCAAGGAGGGACTTTATTTCGTTGTCTTCTAGCAAACATGGGCTTTCATTGACGCAGCATCGTAGTAGTTTAATGAATAACCTGTCTTGGAAAAAGGTTATTTATTTGATTCTCTCCATACATTATTTTGAAGGCTTTTATGTTGGCTCAGCAATTGCACGTTGAATAGAAATGTGTACAATTGCCTTGGTAGTATTTTCTAATAAAAATACTTGCTTAATCGTAATAAGGATCTTTATTTGCATTTTCTTGCATGACGTTATCACAAAGAGCAGTTATTTGTAGGGTAAAAAATCTAATCAGCGGAAAAGAAAGTTGAATGGAAAGATAGAGTGGAGCAACATGGAACCGTTAGATGTGTCATACTTATCAGCTCTTGCTGGTGTGAGTGTTTATTATTACCACATTTAGTGTCGTTATTTTTAAGATATCCAGTAGATCAAGGCAATCAGTCTAGCTGCGGGAAGGCTTTTAAATACTACATAAATTGTCTTGTAGTATTTTCCATTTTTTGTTTCTGGAAATATTTATCAATTTTCTGATATCAAGCAGCTTGCCAAAAGTGATGTCCATTAATTTTCATACCAAGGTTGCTTTTTTCCATCTTAGTAGATCGTGTCTCCAATACCAGAGATTATTTGGATTCGAGATATCAGTCAAATCCATGTGATTGAGATTAGTCTCGGATTCAGTGTGACAGTCACTATTTAACAATAATTGATTATTTTTGGTTATTTTATAGGAAGATGACAAAGACAGCATTGATTATGTTTTTGCATATTCGAGTGAATGGAAGTCTCATGTTTGCATGAAAGGTGAGGCGAAATCAGTTGAGTTTTCGGGAAAATCGTTGGCAACTCATCCTACTTCTTGTCAAGTTGCTGATAATATTACTCATGCACAAAACACTTTACGCAGTCTACCGTTGTTTTCTCAGAGTAAGGCTTTTTTTTCTATTGTTTCCATTAAAGTTATTTGGTTATAATCAAGATGTTTCATTACAACTATCTGGCTCATACTTATCGATCATTCTATTAATAATATAGTTCAGCTTTTTGACCACCAGATTGCGCTAGATTACATGTAACTGAAGATCTCTATAAATTACTGAATTTATTCTTCAAATTTCCAGTAACTTTTTTTAATTTTTGATGGTAATGTTATATGCTCTTGCAATCAGAGTTCTATTTTAGGCGGGTCCATTCTATCCTCGAGTACAACTGTTAATTTGTCTTCTGGAATATTTGTTTCTGATTGTGACACCCAACAACCTTCGTTCCTCGATGATTGTAATCCAGTTTCGATTGCAGTAATCGAACGACGGAGCCCAGTTGATGTTAGTTTTCATCTAGAAAAGTATTGCACAAACGTCGTCGAAAGCTGGAAATATCTGAGAAGGGATTTATTGATGTGAGGCCTGACTGATGGAAGAAATTTTCGGTCACAGAATAGTAATTCTGTAGGGAAAGCTTCAAAGTTGTAAACTGAGTAAATAAAATTATCCTTAAAACTTTTTAGTCTGTGGTCACTGATTCAGTGCATTTGTCACCACCAGCTAGCAATGAAAGAGTTGAGCCTTCACAGATTTTAGGAGGAACTGTTGCAAATATCGTTGGTTTTTAATATATTTATTTATTTATTCGTGTTTTTATGTGTTTATATTTAGTGTTATGAATTTTTATCGAAAGTAACCATCTAATTGATCACTGTATGATGTGTTATTGTAGGATTATATCTATGTTTCCATGTTCCCCTCTTTTTGAGAAAGTTCATACGTTTTCTGTTTCAGATGGCGCGTGTTGGTGGACCACCATCAGTTGGCGATTACATGATTTACCCAACTCCGCCATCTGTTGATGCAACTCAGGTAAATACCTCATTTGAATCCTTTCATTAAGAGGTTCCTTTCATTTGGAAGTATTTGTTATTGGCAGTTCTGTTGCTTTCCATTTTAGATTTCATTTTATTGAATTGTACCTGTTCAGCAGTGAATCGTAATTTAGCTCTCAAATCAACTTGATAATTTTGTATTCCAGTCACAGCAGTTCAGTCCACAAAATACCTTATTACAATCAAATCCGACTATTATGTATCCATCAGCTGTTCCATATATGTCTGCAACAGCTATGAATCTTTGCCACAATCTTCCTCTAACACAGCTGTCATCGAGCATTTCTTCAGAAAGTGATATAATTACAGATACTGGCTCATGTGTCAAACGTGACCCATTTTTTGACGATAATAAAGCTCTGGTTTGTACCTTCTTTTTCATGCTGAAGATCAAATAATTCAAATTCCATAATGTAATCTGTGTAAGAATTATATTGGTTCTATGATCTGAATAAGGAATCGCGAAATCAAGTTTTTGGCGAATTTATGATATCACATTGCAGTATGAAATTTTAATGGAGATATAGAATCGTGACATAAGATTTTTCATTAGAAGTTTAAAGTATAGATTAATAAATAGTGTTTGCAAATTAGAATATGAATGACATTTTATAATCTAGCTGTAATTTTTGATGTATTAAGTAGAATTTGTTTAAATTGCGTTGTGTGGAATGAATAAGGGTTGTTATTTAATCGTTTGATATTCTTCTTTAATTTACAAAAAAATATTCTTAGAATGTAGTAATTTATTGTCAGCTTGCCATTAAATGCATCAAGAAAATATATTTTGACAGGGTAAACTGTATTATTCGATAAACGAAAAGCCTGTGTACAGTAAATTTATGAAATTGGAACTAGCACAAAGCGGGAAATTTACCGGAAATATATTTGCCAAGGATTTTTTTTCATTTGAGGTAATAAGTTTTCAAAATGATGGGCAAAATATATATATATGTTTATTTATTTATTTACTTTATTTAAGCATATATATATTGAGAAATTGTATAACTTACTTCTGGTGAGTTTGACTTTTTTCCACAGCAACATCATTTTTTAGCCTTTTATTTGTTGAAATTTTCATTCAATTTGAATTCAGTCATGTATGCAATGTTTCCAGCCAAAAGGTGATCGGATGCTGGAAGGTGTGTATGCAGATCAGTTTAAACTGATCACATCTGCTGTTGCTGCACGTGAGAAGCGAAAAAAGATTGGGCGTGCTCCTGATTATTTGTTTATGCGTGAACGTTTTCGAAATCTTATTCCACATTCTTCATTTTCTGCGGCACGCCATTATCGAATGGCATGTAACAGTGCTCATTTGCTTTCACTACACTGCATGCCAACTTCACAAGGTATCTTTGGGAATAGTGGTAATGTTTTCTACAACGAGAATTAAAAATATTTTTCGTGAGATTTTGCACAACTTCTACATTTTTGGAAGTCGGTTTTTCATTTTTCAGTGCTGTCGTCCGGTGTGTCAATGAATGGTTTAAATTTTGGTGTCAATGGGCCATCGTTTGCTGGAAATTCCTACAATGGTAGCAGTTCAATAATGAATATGATGATGGGCGGTGGTGGTTGCATTCAGTCTGGTAGTAACACTATGGTACAGCCGATAACTGGATCATCAAAAGTGGGGATGATTCATATAAATCAGCAGATGCCCATAGCGCATTTGAGACCGTCAGCGAGGTTTATTTATTAATTTCATCAAGTTTTGTTTTATCCATAAAAATCTACCCGGTTATGACATTTTAAAATTTCTAGGATGCCACCATTACCATCGTATGCACCATCACAGTCCGGTATACCGCAACATCCAGCATTCATGAGTCATTCTGCACAATTTTCTGGTCCATCTGCAGTAATAAATGCGTCCGGTCAGATATGTTCACTTTCTGGTGGTACACTGTGTCCGGTAAGTACTGGTCCAACACAAAATATCGGCTCTAGTCCACTACAATCACAACATATGCTTAGTGGACTACACAGTACAACTCCGTCACAACCTCTTGGTGCAAGTAATTTTCATGGCAGCAGTGGTGGACAGTTTCCTGTGCAGCAACCTCAGCAGCCGTTCCAACAATTGAGTCATTTTGTTAAAAATGCCAATTTCAGTGGACACATGGGGATTGCGCCTGTCATTTCATCTCAGCAAAATATATACCAGCAACAGGCAATTTCTTGTTCAACTTGCATTTTGCACAACTAAATATTTAGTTGAATCTTTTTCTTTCTTTTTGGTCAAATCATAATTCTATTCACATAAATTTAGTGATTTGAGATATTAAAATGATGTGTTCAGAGTTTAGTTTTAGAACTTCAGTGCATTTAGCAGTCTTCCGTTAACCAAGCTTTAAGAAGTTGAGTGTATGAAAAATATTAGCCTCATGATGAATATAAAATTATTTTAAAGTGAGCTTAAATCAGGAATAAAATGATTTAAAAACCAGCATAAATTCTGTAGCATGAAGATAATACACATCGCCCTGTAGACAAGAGAAATGCAAAACAAAAAATTTCTTTCTGGTTTTGATTGTACCCTTTTTGAGGTGATGTTTCGAGGTAGCATGTCTGGAAATATAACTTCGCAACATGCTGCTCACCCATCAGATAATCATATAATTGATTCACAGGTCAATATTGTATGTAACTTTAAAAGATAAATTCTAATAGTTAATTAGTTACGGGGGGATTCTAATGTAAGAATGGATATGCTTAAAAACATTTTGGCAGTTTTCAGATCTCATTAGTTGTAGAGAAAAATACAGCTTACTGTTTGATGCTTTTCTCTTTCTCTTTGTAGCTCTCGTTTAGCCTCATATTGACTGCTTTTAATTTAGATCATCTTCCATTATGAACTTTGCAGAAGCTGACAAACCTTTTTTAGTGTGTGATTGATATTGTTTCTTGACTTTCGATGATATTTGCTTAGTCACTACAAAATGTAAAAATTACATGCACGCATTGTTGCAATCAGTTTTAGAGACTTAACGTACTTGATATTGTTTTTTCAAGGGTCAACCACCAGTTGAACCGGCACCAACATTCTCACAAGCAGTTAATCACCAATATCCTCCATTGCACAGTGTTCAAAGCAGTTCTATCGTATATTCGCAGTCACCACATATGCTACGACCCAATACATTGATAACCCAAACACACAATTCGAATATGATGAACGGTTCACGTACTTCACAGAATTCATTAATGTCGATGTCACCGTCTATTGGAAGTCCTAACAGTACAGGATTATTTGGAAAGTAAGTCGATTACTATCACACTATCTGAAATGTATGTAAATATTTAAATTAACTAAAACCCATATTTTCTACATTGTAAGAGATTATGCTTGTGAGATATCTGAAATAAATTATATTCTAATTTAAGCAAAGTTATTGGTTTGATTAAGATAATAATTCTGGGTTTTTTTTTATCAGTCGTGTAATGAATATGCCGGATGCTGCAGTTTTAACTGGTAATGTTCGAAATTATCCAGAAGGAAAATCTTTAGTACTTGCTGTTCTCCTTCAAGACACTGTTTTGGATCTACATTATGATTCAGTATTTGACGCTTGTCCCATTTGCTCTTGTAATGGGAATATCAGAGCTAAGGTAAGTTTTTTGTTTCAGTTGTGCTTTACCAAAATGAGAGTTTACCAAGAAATACGTTACATTTGTGACTCAATTAAGAGAGAGACTATTGTCCAATTTTTTTTTTTTTGAAATTCTGTGAAAAGAAAGGTGAACAAAGCACTTTTTTATATTCAGGAAATTGGAGTTTATATAACACCACCTGAAGTGTTGAGGCAACCACCAGCACAGCAACAGCTGATTGTTAGTAAACCGACCAGCGGATTTTATAATAATACATCTAATTCATGTAACTGCGGGTTTAGGTATTTCTTGATTTGTTGTAAATACATCTACTTAAAATTTAACTGCCGGAGATAAAATAATGGCTTACTTCGTTCCAGTTTCTTAGGCAACATTTTTCATACTTTTAGTTACTGAATATGGATACTTTTCACTTCTCAAGATTGCAATTCTTTTTTTTTTGCGTCTAGAACGACCTCGTTTCAGTGCTGTACGGCATCGTTACTTGAGCATGAAAGCTGGTTTATTTGCTGAAGATGCGAAAGAGGCAACAGATATTAACGAAACTCAGAGCCAACCAGCTATTCCTCACACAATATGGTTTGATTCAATGAGCGGACGGTTAGTTTGTTTAAACTCCACGAAATCTATATTTCTGTTATTCTTCAGGATGTCTACGTATTTCCAGCTTTGTATCTTAGTCTTATTTTTTACTTCAGTTTTTTCAGAATATTGCTTGTAACTGATGTGCACGAGATAAAATAGTACCGGTGATTATAAATTTCAAACTTACTGCTCATCATATTTTAGTCATTAGTGCTGTTTTTTTAGAGACATGAATTTTATCGCACTTCTTCGTGAGCAGACACTTGTTCGTGATCTCGGTGGTTTACTAGATCAGGTCATGTTACTCAGTTTACAGTGTGAAAGAGCCTCCCAGGTATTGCTGAGACTTAATTATGAAGGCATGAATCAACTGAAATGTTTTTGGGAACAGAATTCGTGCCAGTATTGACTTCCTTTTTCGTGTGTAATGATGTTAAGACTAGTAGATCATCACTGTCGTCTAATTTTAAAAAAATTGCTCAAGTACTGTAAGGGCAAAGTATCACTGCTTTCAAATTCCAGATACTTTGTGTGATTGATATTTGTTTTGTAGACGGAACAGATTGGATCAGATTCTTCGAAGCGTTGCGAATATGTAATTTCGGAAGTAGACCAGAGAGAATTACCATTGGTATTTCAAGCCGCTTGTGAAGTTGCTTGTATGGAAATGAATTGTCGTCGTCCACCACATGATATTCGAAGCGTTCTTCTTCATGACTGGGGAGTTCAGGTGAGCTTTTTTTTGATTCTTGAGAATTATTGAAGCTTCAGAGCGGAGACAGTGATTCGAGAAATAAAGATGAAGAATATAATAACTCTACTTCAAATAAATCATAGATGTCGAATGAAATGCGTGAACCACGTGAATCAGAATGTATGGCTTTGTTGCAAGAGATCGGGCCAATATTGGAAGAATCTCTACGAATTGCCCGTTCATCACCGTTGTTTGGCAGTAACAATATAGTGGAAGGACCGCTTACTTGGCGATTTTTTGACCGCAAAGCACTTAAAGCTTGTGGAGGGATAGTATGATTTTACTCAGATCCTTCACACTAGTGTCAGCTGTCTATATAGTTTTTTGGATCTAAAAGATGCTTTGCTCACTCGTTTTTACAGCTCTTCGTTGCGTTAGCTTTATATTCAGTTTCTGTCCATTAGTAATGCAAGATTACTGATTACTTCATGTAAGAAGCTAGAGCTTCTTTTTCAAAAAATAAAAGATCCGTGAGGAATAAGTGGAGGCTGAGAACATTATATTTAGGAAGACGACAGTGGTCCAGAACCCGTTCCAAATATAGTTTTGGCTTCCGAAAAAGATGCAATTGTAACATCACCACAAATCTTAAGATTATGGGAAAAGATGTCGTTAGAACCATACGACCAACCAAAAGATGTGCTGTATATTGGTGTTGTTCCAGATAACTTAGTTTGCATTGAAAAAACGAAGAAATATCTTATGGATTTGTCAAGGTAGTCTCCCGATTTCCGAACTCCACTTGTTAAACTGTTTAGGAATTTTTCACTTTGTTCATAGATCTTGTTTATCGAAATATATGTATCAAAGCACAGTTTCAATTGTTATTAATTTAAATCACTCTTACTTAGTTGACATCTTCATGCAGACATTGCATGTCTCTATTTTGACAGATATCTGTTTATTTTTTATTCTTCACTTTTGTGGAGTTCATCTGTTTCATTTTGAAGTATTTGGAATGTTAAGTAAGAAAGTCATGTCTTGAAATATGTAGATGTCGTTAGACTTGATTTCCATGTGATTTACGCATCAGAAAATGTCGAAAACTATTTTTGTTGCAGAATGTATGAGCAGTGTCGTTTCGGTCGTCACATACCCTTCATACGTGAAGTATTGCGAGATGGTTTGTTACGTGTCCCTACCCGATATCCAGCTACTAATCCTGGTGAATGTGACAATTTTTTGAATCAAGTGGAACGCCATATTGGTGATAACAAATCGTTGATCGCAAGATTAAAGGTTCCAAGACTGGCTTTCACTATTATTGTTCTCTTATGATCTTGGATTACCAATGTTTGCAGTGAAAGGAGATGGTATAGCGATTAGGAACCAGTAATATTTTTTCATTTTGAGGATATATAGATAATAATTGGTTTAGTATAACATTTTAATTTCCTTTGGTTTGGTATAATATTTATTTTCCTGAACTTTTTTAATAATTTTAGGTATATATGCAGTACTTTGAGAATGAAATGGCACGCATATTACTCACTAATGATGATGTATTTGATCGGGAAAAATATCGTGCAGCTCTTGCTGAAAATATGGTAAGCATTGTATCATCTCATAATTTACAGAAAAAATTATGTTTGAAATTGAGATACGTGAATTAAAGTTCGTACTTATATAACACATTATTGCTGGAAATAAATTTGTATTCTAATTTTGAGTTTTGTAGTGAATTTTTTTCAGTTCCATGTGGTGCCAAATAGTTCAATTGCAAGTTTTCAGTGTGGAGGATATTCAATACCGAATAATCCATCTGATCAGATGCTACCACTTTCAATGCCTGGGAATATCCTCACTTCTAGTCAATCTTGTGGAACGCCGCAAGGTTTTTTTAAAAATGATAATTGATACTTCTGATCGTCACCAAGTATTAACAGTTTTGTATTCGTGTTAAATTTTCATTACAAATTACCTTAAAATTCTTTTTCTGCTCAAATACTCATTCACCCATTATATTTTTTTCGACTAAGCACTGAAAAAGACCTGTTCTACGAACATTTTATTAATCGTATGTAATTGATAAAATGTGGGGATTTATACTGAATAATTTCTCACTTTCGTCGGCTTTATAATAATGTGACTTTTGTGTAACATGCATATACTCTTAAAAGTTGAAACTCTTTAATTCAGGTTCAAACAATGCTAGTGGTCCAAATTCAGCTGGTGTCACAACATCAAATATTGGGGAATCTTTCACGCCAGATAGTTCAGGTGGTGATAGTAGTGGTCAGAACATTTCTAATATTTCGTCGTTCATTACTGAGCAACTGACATCTGATGGTCATTTACCAGAGGATGAGACAGGAACGTTACCTCATGTTATTGTTATCTACCTCGTAAGTAGCGCACTTTAATTTTCGGTTATCTTTGGTTATTCACTAATATTGTGAAGCTATTTGTTTATTTTATTAATCTGAATCATAACTAGCTACCAAAATCAAGCCAAGTCTTTTTAGACATTAAATTTAATAAATGGTGAAAATTTGTGGAGTGCGAAATGCAATATTTTGTGAACTTCTTGCTATTATTTCTTAATCGTACTGTCAACAAGTGCATCTGTAGGATGATATTATAAATAAAATTTTCCTCGTTCTTATATATTATAAATATACGTTTATTGCAAATAGAATAAGTTTAGGTGAATCCTTTCTTATTGGGTGCAGAAGAAAATCCACTTGTGGCAAGGGTTGTTACAGTTGCGCTGATGCGTGCATTCAACGCGCTTCTTTATCGGTTGAATAATAAACGTCGGCCACAACTACAATTAGAACTGATTGCTCTGCAAAACATCTTTGATTATTGTGGACTCTCAGCTGACTTTCTGAAGGATGAAAGAGGTCGACTGAATGGATATGATCAAGGTATTGTTTTAATGAAAGAAGATGGAGCGTGTTGGTTTTATTCTGCTATAATTTCAAGTCTTTAGCATTGTGGGAGTTTTAACTTTAAAATTCTTTAAGTTTAATCATACTTATCATTGAGACAAGAATAATGTCATTTTTTCATGTGGCAGTTAATGCAAAAGCTCATCATGATTGTTTGAAATTTTTTATTTTTTAAATTCATAGGGCGATTGGAAAAATCACAAAATGAACGATTATCATCTTCTGATTCACTAAAGACCATTGCGTTCTCAGTTTATACTCATTCACGCGTTGTATTGCCAGATATTGTACGTGGTATTTTACCAAAAAGTATGACACGTTTTGGACCAGCAGCAGCTATGGTTGATTTGTTGAATGAACTGGATCGTAAAGACCCAGTTTATTACAAAGTACGTTCTTTGGCTGTTTTTGATTGGTAGAATTTTAACTCCTGAAATATAGAATGCTATCTGTACTTTTCTTTCTCCAACAGGTCTCGCCTTTCTCATGTAATTATCTACGTAATTCATTTCTTGACATCTGAAAAATATTTACTTGTCACTGAATTTTGGTCATTACGTATCCATAATTATATTTTAGGTTCCAAGCAAACCATTCATTCTTGCTCCGCCATCACCCGTTATGCAACGTCCAAACTGCGATTTGATGCAGATCAATACTGATGAAGTTGTTTTGTTTGTAAGTTATTGCTTGATAGGGAACGATTGGCTCGCTGCAACTGTAACAGATCACCAAGGTCATTTGCTAGACAATTGTTTGATCAATTTACGGCTTAAACCTGACCATAAAAGGTGAATTCTTCAATGAATAATGTTCTATTTTCTCTTATTTTCTAGTGGTGATGGAAAATTTTAAAATGACCAAGTTACATTGCAGTAGTGTGTTAAAATGTTATATTTTGAGGTGCTGCTTTATGACAGTGTTTTTGATATTTCAATGTAAATTTCAGTCATTATAGGAGATATTTATATTGGAAAAACATTTGATTAATTTTCGAAGTTTTTTTCAGATGATCTAATTTTCATAGTAAAGGCAAATGGTGATTCAAGATTTCTGAATAAAGCATCATTTATACTTGTAGGGTCAACATGAGGTACAAGCAGTCAACGCAGATTAGAGATAGTTTGTATCGTTTGTGGTCTTATATTTTGGGTATATTAGCAACTGGTACGAAAAATTGGAGACTTGTGATTGGAAGAGTGGGAAGAATTGGTCACGGAGAATTCAAATGTCAGTTGGTTAAATTGAAATTCTTAATCTTTTTGTAATAGTTCATGATAACAATTAATAATTTTATGTTCATCCATAATGAAATTTAAAAGAACATTTTTGACTTTATTTCGTTTGATCACATTGTTCGTGTCTTTCTTTCTCAAAAAAATGTGCATTCTTTTTCAAGGAATATTTTTTGCATTTTATTTCTATATTCAATTCAAGCTCGTCAAATTCTGGGAAATGCAGTTTAGTGTTAAAGCTTGATTATTCGTGCATCGTTTTGCTGATTTTAGTTTGGACTCAGATTCTTAGCAAGCCCTATTTAAAGCAAGTTGGAACACGTATGAAACATGTATGTCGAGCGTGCCACGTAATGCCAGGAACATCGGTAACCACTAAACCAATATTGTAGCTATTTTTTATTTTAAACTCCGTCAACTTTCGTTGATTGAAATTCGGATTTCAACTCATTTTAAGCTGTAATAATTATAAGGTTTTTGATTATTTTAGGAAAATCCTGGTTTACTTTCGGCTTGTTTGGTTAGTTTAGAACCTGAGGCGCATCTCCGGGTGTTTCCATCGTCATTCCAACATGATGATAGATTTCTCAAAACTTCGCGATACCGTACGCTAACAACTCCGGACGACACTAGCTGCACTCATATTTTGGTTTTCCCTACCAGTCCTGAACTAAATGTGTGTAGTTTATACTATGATTGAATGTTATGTCGTACTTGAAGTTTATATTTCATGAAAAGAATTGAAATAATTCTCAGAGTTCAATATATCAACTGTTGAAGCATTTTCTCTGTCTTTTAAATACTCAAGTTTTTTATGGTCAGAAACTTTCTGGAAGAATATAGGGATTGGTATATAAGGGTAACTTCAGGTCGTTTCTTATTCTTCATAATGTGCATTGTTTATGTTTTGCTTAGCTGTGAATGGCAAATGAATTAGAAAAGAGTGTTTATTCCTTAGTATATCCTATTTAGATTCAATGTTCTGGTAGGTTTAGAGATTAGGATTCATTGTGCTCCTATTATATTTCGTATTTCTTTTAAATGGAATTGGTACTTATAATCTCTTTTTTGACTAACATAGTGCGCTAAAACTACTGTTACTTTCTATTTCGACGGATTACAGTTAGATCATCAGGGTGGAAGTGGTGTTGCCGAATTAGAAGAAGATGATTTCTCGAATTTATTGAAAGAAAATATTGGTGAAGAGTTCAATGAACTGATAGGTAACGGTGAAGATTTGATGACCAATACAACTGGATCAGCTTCGAATGCAGCAAATTTTCGGGTGAATGGTAATACGGGAATCCCAAGTGAATATGCAGGTGATGTATTAATATTAGGATTGTATCTTAGTTTTCGAATGCAATTTAATATTTCCTTCACCATTGAAAAGTGTGATTTCAGCAGTGACTAGAAGTTTGCTTTTATCTTTATTTTTTTTTACGGAAGTGTATTTCTGCTCCTATTATTAGGATGTATACTGATACTAATAGATTTAAGTTTTGAAATACTCTGTTGCTACTGTTTTTTATTTTTTAATATGCGTCACTGTCACACGTAATGATGAGTTCAATGATATTACCAACAATCAGCAATCTCGTAATCGTGTTTTTAATAAATACATTGAAGAACTCTTGTTTTAGATGTTTCAATAGAGAATCAGCCGCTTGCTACAGGTTATTATATATCAACAGCACCAGCATCTGATCTGCCAGATTGGTTTTGGTCAGCCTGTCCAGCTGCTAAACGACGCAATCCAGTGCATCTAAAAAGTTCTCTTCACTTAAATACACCAAACGTACAACTAGGCGATGATATTTCATCATTTGGGAAAGGCGCTGAAGCATGCCATCACCAGTTAGATAGTCAAGCAACAGCCGATGTTCTAAGGTGTGTTGCTGTACATATATAATGGTTTATATACTACACATCCTATGTGTTTAAATTAATTAAGGAATTAATATTAAAAGTATATTCATAAAGAATTCGAGGGAAAAAATTAATTGGATTCACACGTCCTTAATCTAAAAAACAACGGCAGTAAAGTAATAAAATGTATTAAAGAAGCATAAATAAAATAATAATGTATATGGAAGCTTAACTACATCCGAAAATGATATGTTAAATATAGAAATGTACAAATCAGAAGATGCCAAAGATATAATTATATTGTTGATAGTATTTTATGATTCCTTTTTGTGCTGATTTTTATCATATTTCTGCAAGTTAGTTTTCCCATCATTATTATAGGTATGTTCTGGAAACCTACAATGCATTATCTTGGCTGAATATTGATTTGGTAACTGGAGAACGACGTTCCTGTTTACCTGTTCACATTCAAGCGCTTATGCGGTTGTGTAACACTGTCAATCGCTTTATAAATTAACTAATAAGCGAAAAAGAGGATTCAGAGGTATTAGTAATTGGGTTTAAATAAGATTCTAAGGAATTTGTGCAATATTTCTTACCTATTGCTCAATATTTGAGATCGACATAATTTCGGGAAATGAGTCTTTAGCTTCATCGTTCGCAAATTTTCGCTTAAAATTAGTGTAAACTTGCATCACCAATTTTTGTGAACAAACAGTTACCAGCTTCATGGTATAATTTCAGAACTTTTTCCATAAAAATAAGTTCAAGCAATATTCTTCTAATATATGTTTTTCTTTCTTTTTTTTTTTGAAAAGATCATGCCAATTTTGTGTATTTATATGTAGTTGTTATTTTTTGATAGTCATGATATCTGTATGTTTACTATAATTATGAAGATTATGCGAGATGTGAGTCATAATTCTGAAACACATTTCATCATTGCAATCTGGTTAGATTTTGATATTTATGATGGGATCCTTTTGTGATATTTCAAAAAGGTTTTTATAGTCTCATGATTCCATCTTCTTAATGCGTTTTTGATTTTTCTAATAAATTTTGTATAAATAATTTATTGTCGTACGTTCAATTGCCATTTGTAGAGTCGAAATTTTGCAAATATGTTTCATTGTTTAGATCCAGCAGTTCATAAATCTAATTATAAGGAAAGTTATCATTTATTCAAGTCTAATAGATGTTAACTGAGGTGCTGAAAGTAGAGTTGTTGATTCTTCCCACCCTTCCTATATTGAGAAAATTTTTTCTAGGGCGAGTAAATTTGTTGAGGAAGTTCGGGTTTGCTAATTTTAATGTTTCGTGTGAAAGTAAGGGTGCTGAATTTCTCGAGATTAAGCTGTAAAAGAGTTATGGTTGTTCTCGTGCACAATGTACAGATTTTATTTTGTTCATCTCTATGTTTATAAATATGTTTGCTTTTTATTTGTTCTCCAGTCTTATAATTGTTCTGCGTCCTTTAATTTACTGCATACTGCTGTCATTTTTTTGTTGTGATTGTTATCACTGACTCTTATGTATTTTATAATCTTTGAGATTCCTGTTGTGTTACTCCCACTCTATCCTATTAGACATTTATGTAAGAACAAATTTCGCGTAGCCTAGTGGAAGCAACATTCTTTTTCTTTTGTATTGCAGCAGTCAGAAACAGTTATTAGTTATTTCACAGCAGTTATGAATTTTTATGTTGGCTTTCCAAGCATTGAACTTTCAAACCGTATCAGAGATGCGTCATATGGTTGACTGATGTTTTTCCTTTATGTTTATGTTCTTTTTCCTTGGAAATTATTTGTTTCCTTCCTATTGTGGTATTTTACACAATTCATTTAAACATGCAAATGAAGCAATAGTTTCCAAATATTTTCTCATTTTTATATATAGAATTACACTTTTTTTCTCACTATATACAGTTACTTGTTGTCAATAATAAATGATTGAGAAGTACTGAGATAAAAGAATTAAGGGTTTCACACCGATAGTAATTTAAATGAATGAAAGGTACACTGTGATACTTGATCAACATACAATTAAAAAAGGCCTGAATGTATGCTTGAGTTAATGTAGCTCAGGAGCCGGGATGTGGAACGGAAGTATAATGAGCAATTTGAGAGCTTTTTTTATGTGCAAGAAAATAGATGGAATCGGTCGATTGTAAGTAAATCAGTCTTAGTTCCAATGATGTTTATCTAGTATATGTTCAGTTTCAAATTTTCTAGCTCACATTGTTGTGTAAATGTTTCATCTCAATAAATATTCTAAGTTTATGTGAGAAGCACTTATGCAGCGCAGTAGAATGATTGTTATTACAAATCAAATTTTTGTAATGCACTAGATTTTTTGCATGTATGACAGAGTAATGTGAGATGGAATTTAAATACGTTACTACCAAATTAATTTCTGGTAATTTGCGGCGTGACATCAGTTTCATAAGTACAGAAATCATTTTATTTGAATTATTTCGTTATTCTTAATGGAGCTGTTGAATTATGGCATTTGATAACGATTGAACATTTGTTGACTTACATGCTCGCTTTGCTGTCACTTCACATGGTTTGCCAGTAGATATCACCAATCTTTGTTGTTTTTGACAGCAAAAACAACTCAAAATTTTTATAACTAAAGCACGGACATCCTTTTGACGATATACGAAAGTCATTACCAAATTGTATGAATTGATACTGCTGAGTAATATAGCATATAGGGCCATTTCATTTTCATTGGAAGCATCTAAGCGATCGTATATAAGTTGATTCACTGCTGGGACCACGTATAAAACTGAAATGAGTAGAGATATAAGATATTCCAAATATATGCCTAGTTATATCATTTAAAATTAACTTTGCATTTGGCAGATTGCAAGCACTTGACTATTTATAATTGGAGAAAAGTCGAAATGAAAATTCACAGAATGTTATCGAACACGAGACTAATGTGGTTTTAGTGAAGGATTTCTGACGCTGAATAAATGCATCTATGTCAGTGAATGATGTCAATTTATTTCTTCCAAGAACCATTTTTCGTTTCCTTCAACAGCAAGAAATATGCATGATTTTCAATAGGCAGTAAAAAATTTTTTAAACCTATGAGCATCTAGTACTTTCATAGAAAAAATGTTCACGATTAAGTTGTCAACAATGAATTAAGAAAATGAAGGCAGAAACATTTAACCAACTTGTACATTATCACTAGCACTAAAATCATTATAGGAATACTCGCAGCTGCAGTCAATGTACGCACGCATAAAATAACAGAATATAAATCTTCGTTATAAACTAACTGCTCCCTGAAATTTATAGTTAAGGGATTGGTTTCGTAATGTTTTTTCAATTTATCACAGTTCTTCAAGAACAAATTACAAATTGCACAAATGAGAGCAGTTAAAATATTTCAAGCACTAGTAAAACAAACATCAGTCTAGATCTAGATTTTGAACGAATAGATTTCTGTGGTTGTTAATAGACTCCCAATTATTCAGATTTAAAGAAACTAATGCACTGTGAAATAATAGTTGTGGTAGTCATAATTATTATTCTAAGACTTTGATAATTGCTGGCAATATTTTATGCACTTAGTTATCATAGTAAAATACTCATAACTATGAGTGTTATTGAAATCCATGAATATTCCAACAGCTGCATCAGTATGCATTTTTTTCTTCATAGTGTAAATGCTGCTTCAACAGTACTTGTTCTACATAAATATTTCAATTCCCTTAATAAACATACTAAGATCTTGCAACAGCACATTTATACTAAGACATAAGTAGTTGTGGTAGCTGTCAATGATTTATTACCTTGTAATACGATGATATCATAGTATTATGATGGAAAGCTGATGAAAGTGAAATATTTTCTTTTCACTAGAAGTGATAAGACGACTTACAGGCAAAGTGGTGATATACGTCGCGCTGGTAAAACAATTTCAATAGCGATAGCAGAGCTCATGAAGATAAAAACAGCGATGTAAACTACTGCTATCAGAAATCCGACGATTAGCTGCGTATGCCGAAAATACTGAAGTGGAAACAAAATTACAAGAAGCCGATCGACACTATTAGCTAATAAACCGAAACCATTAAGCACGATCAAAAGCACCAAAGAATTGCTAAACTGAAATGGAAAAGATGAAAGCACTCGTTATGCTGCTATTGTCCAGAAATATTAATTAGCGAACAAGTATTTACTTTGCAACCGAAAATGTTAGTTTTTTGAAAACTGCCAAGACACTTCGTTTTTTAAGTGTCAAGTCCCCACATCTGTTTTTTCATTATTTGTAACTTTTATTATTATTACAGCAACGTGAAAAAAATATTGCTTAAACAACCACATAAATAATTTTTATAGTAAAATTATTTCGTTAGACTTACATGTACCAAACATAGATTGCTATCAATTAGTTCATTTTTCGGTAAAGTTATCATATCAATCAATCTGGTAATGCCCAAAGCTGCATCATTTAAGCCTGTCAAACCATTATGAAATATTATAAATGCCATAATTGTATAATACATCCTAAAATTGACTAATTATTAGTCATCTAAACCCAAGTATCATTAGTTATCACTGCCTAATTTTTCAACAATTTACTGATTACAGTCCCACTGTTTTGTTATAATTCATTGTTTGTAACTGACAAAAAATAATTATGCAGAAATATTTTTGAAAAATTGCTGTTCGAGCTCAAGTTTTAATATGGCAGAAACAACTCGTTTTCCAACAAATTTAACTGTTTCCTTAATATTGAACACTGAAGTTTTATGAGTTACACGAAATGTGATATTAAAGTGAAAGCAGCGAAAAGCATATTTGAAACAGTTCACTGATCCCATTTATATTTATTTCTGCATTCATTCATTATGTTGAAAGAGGATAGCTTTTACACACAAACTCCAAGAATTTTCCAAAAGTTCCAAGTCAACAAATGTCAACGCAACCAACCTCAATGAGCGTTTTCTAATAATGATCACAAAAATAGTAGAATTTATTATAAAAGATGGTAAACCAAAGAATATAAAAGCAAAAGTTTCCAAAAATTCTTCCAGATTCATTTTGCTTTGTTGTAATAGATTCTTCAGATTTGTTGAATGCTACCTAAAAAATTTGGCGTGAACTTTATAATTTTGCGATTACTTTGCCGTTAACAGTTTAAAAGAACTCTCTATTTTTCGTATTGTAATTTCATACATTCTTTATTATGCGTGAGTTTTCAAAAATTACGAAAAGTTTTAATAATGAATTAAATAAAGTTCATTGGAATGAGGTCGGAATGCGTTTCATGCAGAAGGAGGCTAATTATAAACTAATCTGACTGTTAATTAATTTGATAAAAGATAAAAAAAAGGAAAGTTTTATGTTTCAAAGCGTTAAGAAAAGTAAAAAAATTCATTTGACTTATAAAGAACTGAAAAAAAAACTGGAATTTATAGAAGCACAAAAGTTCAATTTGAATGTGTCTTTTTTTTTTCGATCAGTCCAATAAACAAAAAATTTCAGTAATGCAAATTTTTCTGAATTCAAATGATGAAAGCGTGTAATAATTTCTGCAGGTTAAAACTAATTAACTGGAAGTAATCTCGAAAATATTATTCAAAGTTAGTATAATGATCAAAAATGCAACAACTAAGTCATTGTCAGTCGCTAATTGCAAGTTTAGACAAAAGATATAATAAACAGGTGATATTTGTCCTAATTATAGTTTAGACAAACAATTATCAAGATATATCCTATGAATCTACCAACGACTTTCATTGTCAACTTCGTTTAGCTATTATGGTTTAGTATTGAACTAATTTTTAAAAACATTTGATAAATGAGGTATTTTTAATAAATTGAAGAAACTGTTTAAAAAATATTCATTTAATTCTGAATATTAAACAAACTTAGAGATATAATGCACACTAATTAACTTTTGCAAATGAAAGATAAAAAACAAAAGAAAATTATGATCTCATACAAATCTATTTTCACCTCCAAACATTTGTAGTTGCTACACAAAATTAACTCTGAAATAGATGTGGAATCGTGTTATCTCAAATATTTACACAAAGATTTGTGGTTTATTTGGCCTGGAACAATTAATTGGTATGCATTATTAAACGTATAATTATTATTGAATATTCAAGGATTGCTGATATTATGGAAGAAATATTTAAAATCAATTGAGGTAGGAAATTAAAACTTTACAAGTCATTATTCATGAGTTTAAAAAGGGAACATATTAACAGGTATCACAATATGCTACCACATTCTGATACCTGCATTACAAGTATGATTTAAAAGAAAATTTGAAGAATGAGTATCTAAAACGTCGTCTGTATAACGACCACCAGTAGTGAAATTATTGATTTCATTATTTTTTGATGTATGATTCCTCGAATACTTCCATAAAAAACGAAATATTAATTTAGCTAGATATGTTCAAAAAAATTTTGGACTGCTTGATACATGCTGTAGGATACTACTTTGTATTGAAGGGAAGATAATTTTTGCTGCAGACAAATTGTGAGTGCTTTTTATTATTATTAGAAAGCAAAATTGGAATTTCATACAAACACAAAAGTATAATCTTTTGATGTTAGAAAAAGTGATGGAGCCGTGTAATTTACATGCACTTGCTTAAGGTAAATAATGCATTTAGCTGCTCATCAATATTTCAGCAAATGGTGATTAGTGGCGTTAGCTTTCTTTTGAAAACTATACATTTTTTGGCCAATTCGCTTATCAATTGTTGCAGCTTGATTGTTCTCATCCTGCAGTATCTGCATTTTATATGGCAATCTTATGCTCATGCATCAGAAAGCGCAATCTTGCTGAATCAAACATCAGAAGCAACGCTGTTTTATAAAAATATTAGTAAAAACATATAACTTTTTTTCCACGTAGCGAAAAAGTGATACTTTCTTTTGAAGGAAATGCAAGTTATTCAAAAGAAGTGTCTCTTTGCCAACAGTCGTACTTGTGTTTTTCTTTTATTTCAAAACAACACTTTCACAAAATTTAAGCACAGTCTTAAATTTTATTTTACCAATAAAATAATGATAATAAAAATGAGCTGGAGCAACTATCCACATGTTTTGATTTTTAAGCTCAAATTCCATGTATACTTACTAGATTTGTCTACTGGAACAACAAGTGGTCTTTTATGAGTGCAAAACCGTTTGTATTTTTCCAGTATAAAAAATCCTTTTAAACTCACCTAAAATAATACTTGTAATATGCAACTTATCTCTTCTAGCTGTATTTTATAGGGTTTCAGATCATTGTGTTTTGCTGCAGAGCATATTAGCACTCCCAAATTGATTATTCAGATGACGTAGTTAGTGATATAAGTTTATAAATCCACTTAAGATTGAAAAAGTTTTGTTTGGAATAAATTTGATATAATGAAGGTTTGAAAAAGGGTCCAAAAAAAATGAAAATCTATAAAAACGATTCAAATAAATCAGCAATTAGTAAAATGTCGTTTTTGCCAACGTTGTTCGTATTGTTCTTTCAATAGGGAGCAAGTAATAGAAATAAGAGTCAAATTGCTATTTATTTTGCTTTTATTGCAATTATGAGAAATTTGTTAGGTGTTTTTACCTATTTGCAATCATTTGATTCCATTTATAAGAAATTTGTGAGTACTACTTAGGCGATTTAATCTATTAAAGAAGGCGTAAATGAAGAACAAAATTTGCAAGTACTTTATACATGATCCACTGATTAGCAAATATCTGTCGTAATTGTTGATTTTATATAACTCATATTAATGATGAAATCACTGGTGCAAATCTTTTACCAACTGTTTAGTGAAGACATTGTTTCAGGAATCAGTGCACTATAATTAAATCAACAATATTTCGATTAAATTGATGCAGAATTTTCTGTGGCACTTAACATCGAATTTTCTTTGAGAGATTCCTATTTCTCGGCATTATGATCGTATCGCTAACAGTCGAACTTTCCTAAGCCAAAAAGATTACTAGTGAATGGTAAGGTTATTCAAAATAATGGAATACTAAATGCGTGGTTTGTGAGTAACTGAAAGACAGTAAGTAAATGAGAACGTCTTGACATTTATTTGCAAGTTTGATAATTATTTTAAATATTCAATTTTGCTAGCAATACATTGTTTTGATAAAAAGAGCAGGGTTTTTTTGTTATCAAATTTTGATCGCAAATGTTTCACATCTTTATTTGGATTAAACAATAATTCATTAGTAATAGAACATTTAACACAGAGTTTAAAATAATTATCAAACTTGCAAAGATATTGCACAAAGGTGTTTTACATTATTTATTCAAAGGTTTTTCATTTGCTGAAGCCCGAAATTAAAATTTCTACTGAATTTGATTTCGTCTACATTTCCTGCTAAGTTGTACAAGTAATTTTTTTAGTACGAAAAAATTATTAAATATACAGTGATGATATCCAATTTTTATCGATCAAATTCAGAAATGCAATATTTTTTGAATTTGGTTTCCTTAAAAGGCATTTCAATAATATTACCATTTGCATTTATTGTATCCAATTTCATCAGTAATTAAATGTGTCACAGATACACTTTACCATTCACAGACGAGAATGTAGGCATTTTTAATGTTCGAATGATGCTGATGGAAGTCAGCATGGTAGGGAGTAAGAATTTTTCGTACTAAAAAAATTACTTGTACAACTTAGCCGGAAATGTAGACGAAATCAAATTCAATTTTGTGTTTTATAAAATAAACTAAAAATTTTATAAAACACAAAATTTAAAGTGAGGACATCTGCAAGAGTGAGATTCTTAGAGAAATTAAACGAACTGAAAAAAATTTATATTACTCATATCTATATTATCTCAATCACTAGCTAATATTTAAAGATCCAAATGCAAACACATCGCAGTTATAACGTATTTGTTATCAAAAAAAGATGCTCTGAAATGACCTAGAGTTACGAAGATTTTTTCATAGTAAACATTGTGCTGATCATGAAAAAAAACGAAGGATAAA